GATCACGTTGAGGGAGAGGTTGTTATCCTGGCACCACACGGCCAGGTCTCTGACCTCCTCCCTATAGGCTGTCTCATCATTGTCGGTGATCAGGCCTACCACTGTTGTGTCGTCTGCAAACTTAATGATGGTGTTGGAGTCGTGCCTGGAAATGCAGTCATGGGTGAACAGGGAGTACAGGAGGGGACTGAGCACGCACCCCTGAGGAGCCCCCGTGTTGAGGATCAGCGTGGCGGATGTGTTGTTACCTACCCTTACCACCTGGGGGCGGCCGTCAGGAAGTCAAGGATCCAGTTGCAGAGGGAGGTTTTTAGTCCCAGGGTCCTTAGCTTAGTGATGAGCTTTGAGGGCACTATGGTGTTGAACGCTGAGCTGTAGTCCATTAATAGCATTTTCACGTAGGTGTTCCTCTTGTCCAGGTGGGAAATGGCAGTGTGGAGTGCAATAGAGATTGAATCATCTGTGGATCTGTTGGGGCGGTATGCAAATTGGAGTGGGTCTAGGGTTTCTGGGATTATAGTGTTGATGTGAGCCATGACCAGACTTTCAAAGCACTTCATGGCTACAGACGTGAGTGCTACGGGTCGGTAGTCATTTAAGCAGGTTACCTTAGTGTTCTTCGGCACAGGGACTATGGTGGTCTGCTTGAAACATGTTGGTATTACAGACTCAGTCAGGGACATGTTGAAAATGTCAGTGATGACACTTGCCAGTTGGTCAGCGCATGCTCGGAGTACACGTCCTGGTAATTCGTCTGGCCCTACGGCCTTGTGAATGTTGACCTGCTTAAAAGTCTTACTTACATTGGCTACGGAGAGCGTGATCACATAGTCATCCGGAACAGCTGATGCTCTCATGCATGCTTCAGTGTTGCTTACCTCGAAGCGAGCATAGAAGTGATTTAGCTCGTCTGGAGGGTTGTGTCACTGGGCAGCTCGCGGCTGTGCTTCCCTTTGTAGTCTGTAATAGTTTTCAAGCCCTGCCACATCCGACGAGCGTCGGAGCCGGTGTAGTACGATTCAATCTTAGTCCTGTATTGACTCTTTGTTTGATGGTTAGTCAGAGGGCATAGCGGGATTTCTTATAAGCGTCTTATATGACTGTGATATGTGTTTGTCCCACCTAGCTATCTTAATATGAATCTACAAACTGTAAGTCGCTCTGGATAAGAGCGCCTGCTAAATGTCTAATATGTAAATGCAGCCCGTATCTGGTGAGGGCAGCCCTCACTTTGCCAGAAATGAGCCCATCTTTTCCCACTAAACATACCCATATTGGCATGATGTGGGCCCAATGCGGGTTAAAACATTGGACCCATGAAGGCTGCCCACATAGAGAGCAATAGTAATGGCGTCTTTTTGTAGGTACTAACTCCACCATGGGCAAAGCCTATGGGAAAATGAATAGAGTTTTTTGATAAACACCAAAAATAAGGTCTGTGGTAAACACAGGCTTAGGAGATCTTTTACATTTTATTCTATGAGATTTTCATCAGCTAACGTCACTTTTTGTGAATTTTGAAGCATTTATGTAATAATAAAAAACACAAAGCACATAAACACTTCATAATTCATAAAGGTAATGTTAACTGACTGCTGTTCTCTTATAGAACAAAACGTATAACATCTCCCAAGCCTGCGTTAACCTCTGACCTTATTTTCGGTGTTTATCCCAAAACCCTATTCTTTCTCCATTCATTTTCCCCATAGGAAAGGCTGAACGAACCAGAGGTAACTTATTTCCAGTGTTTAGGACTACAAGCTGGCGAGCTTTATTGGGGCAGTGCGCCTTTGCTCATCAGCTCCACATTGGTCCCAAGGCAAGTTGTATATATATGTTGCTATATATACAGTGCATTCGGAAAGTATTCAGATCCCTTGACTTTTTCCACATTTTGTTACGTTACAGCCTTATTCTAAATGGATTAAAAAACGGTTTTTCCTCATCAATCTACACACAATACCCCATAATGACAAAGCAAAAACAGCTTTTTTGATCTCGTCTCCTCCCGTCTGCCTTCCATCTTTGAGGACATGTATTTCCATTGTTAGAGCGGTCATTCGACTATCTCTAGATAATCTTTCACGGAGCGCTCCTCCACCGCCCACTGTGATTGGCTACAGGTAGGCAAACATGTTCAAGTGAGCCCAGTATGGTGTTTGAAGCGGCAGCATGACGGAAACTGGATACAGTTTGTGAAGTTGTTACAGGTTACAGTTTACATTTGATTTGTAGCAATTGTAGAGTAACATTGCAGAACAATTGATTATAGCCTACATGTAAACGACAAGGAAGAGGAGCTTTCACCGCTGAGAGGGCAATAGTGATTTCTGACTGGTAGAGTAGACGTAGCCTATCACGTCAATCCTACCTGAATTCATTGCAAACAAACTGCCCAAGGTAAGCTTGTTTCATGACTAGATAAAAAGTATCACTTTTGCAGGATTGTAATCCAATTCGTAGTGGTAGTCTATAACATTTAGTTAATTAATATGCAAGGAACTCGAACCTCATTCTCTGAGGTCGAGAAAACATATACAGTCACTGAATATTGCCCATAGACAATGCAGTCATACACCATTAAACCAACCTTTACTTTCCGATACTTTCTTCGTTCTTGATTCGGAAAGCTGCTGTGTATTATACGCGTCTGTTTCCAATATCCAGGAAAATATTAAATCAACTTTTTGTATCAAGTGAGAAATGCCTATTGCATGTATGTAGATCTTTGTTTGGGTCACGCGTTGTCGCTTAGAACTGAATAGTTGATGGAAATAATTTGGGGAACGTGAGATGTCTGCTAGCTAAAATGGCTCATCACTCAGTGCAAAAAGTGGATTTAATATCTTTCTGAATATTTCCTCATTATTGGGGTTCAACCTGCAACTAGAACAGGAGTTTATAAGACAATGGGGACTTCCGAATCGAGATTTAAGAAAGTATCACCAAGTAGCCTGAAGGAATGGTAAAACATGCTGATTAGGCAAATCCTTAAACGTCACCATCATATCAATGGCTATCCGCAAACTGTAACAGCTAATGTTGGGTACAATTTATTGGCAGGTTAGTATACCATGTTTTTTGTTTCACAAGGAACATTCAGAAAAACTGAAACCAGAATGAGACACAATTATGGGTCCGGTGTGGCTCTGTTTGTAGAACATGGTGTTTGCAACGCCAGGGTTGTGGGTTCGATTCCCACGGGGGACCAGAATGCAAATGTACGATCACTACTGTAAATTGCATTGGATAAAAGCGTCTGCTAAATTGCCCTTGTCTGGCATATATTAGAAAATAAAGGACGGCATGTGTGTAACACTGAGTAAGTAATGGCCATATCTGTAGCATTTCAGTTCTGAAGTTCATGTTAGTAAAGTGGGACAAGTTTAGTGAAGTAAGAATGGGCTTTAAATGGGGATTTAGGAAATTAGGCCTTTTATCTACTTCCCCAGAGTCAGATGAACTCGTGGATACTAGCATATATAAATATTTTCTTAACTCTTTTTCTTGAACTTCATTGTTGGTTAAGGGCTTGTAAGTAAGCATTTCACGGTAAGGTCTACACCTGTTGTATTCGAAGCATGTGAGAAATAAAATGTGATTTGATTTGAAAAAAAATATTTGATTTGATACCCATAGACTTCCAGTCTTTGTGCTAACGCTAGTTAGCATTGGCTCACGAAACCACCTCTAACTTCCTTCATACTGGACACAGAGACAAAAATGGTATCCACAAGTTCAGTGGTGTAAAGTACTTAAGTTAAAAAAAACGTTTTACTCTATACATTTTCCCTGACACCCAAAAGTACTCGTTACATTTGGAATGCTTAGCAGGACAGGAAAATTGTCAAATTCACGCACTTCTCAAGAGAACATCCCTGGTCATCCCCACTACCTCTGATCTGACGGACTCACTAAACACATGCGTCGCTTGTAAATGGTGTTGGAGTGTGCCCCTGGCTATCCTTAAAAAAAACGTGAATATGCCGCCTGGTTTGCTTCATATAAGGAATGTGAAGTGATTTATACTTTTACTTTTGATACTTAAGCATATTTAAAACCAAATACTTTTAGACTTTTACTCAAGTAGTATTTTACTGAGTGACTTTCAGTTTTACTTGAGTTATTTTCTATTAAGGTATCTTTACTTTTACTCAAGTATGACAATTGGGTACTTTTTCCACCACTGCACAAGTTCATCTGACTCTGGGGAAGTAGATAATAATAATAATAATATGCCATTTAGCAGACGCTTTTATCCAAAGCGACTTACAGTCATGTGTGCATACATTTTTGTGTATGGGTGGTCCCGGGGATCGAACCCACTACCTTGGCGTTACAAGCGCCGTGCTCTACCAGCTGAGCTACAGAGGACCACATGGATAAAGGGCATCATTGCCAAAATCCCGAAGTATCCCTTTAAAACTGTAACCTAATAAGGAAGTCTGTCAGATATCAAATGAGTGCCTCTGCCTCACCTCAAGAGAAGGCTATCCAATAAAATAGGTAATGTACAAGAAATATGGATATTATGGAGACCTCAAACTCATTTAGAATTTCAGAAGAAAACCCCCCACATCATTTCAGGATGATCACCTTCCCTTTTCCAAATGAGTGCATGATGGATTGTACAAATGCTTAAGCCATACCCATGATTATACACATTGGGCAAGTAGGTTAGAGAATACCTTTTGACAACTTAAACAGTGATATTATACAGCAGACAACCAAATACATGTGATGGCTGACTGAACATGAGTAACTTGGGGGTTGATCTATCAGCTGATGAAATTGATGCAATGTTTGCTCTGTGGCCATGCACTTAGCCTACTGTTGCATAATGTTTCACACGCAAATTCAGCAGTAAAGATTCTGTATGCATTTCACAAGAGAATTTGTATTCTGTCAAACATTGTTTGACGCAGCTGGACGAATGACAACTTTCTGGTATCTTTGTTTTTTCCCTCAGTCTATTCAGCCTCTTTCCTCACAAGTCCACCATGCCGATTGAATTGGGCATGCCGCTCTACCTGTCAAACGACGACTTCTGCTACAGGAGGACCCCAAAATCACTGCAATCACTACGACCCTGCCTGAAGCCCTGCATGCGGTTCAAACCCTCTGCCCCTCCTATGCAGACTGAAGCAGATTTGCTTAATGAGAAGAATGGGAAATCTAAAAGGCGAGTGTCCTTCGCCGACCACAAGGGCCTGGCCCTCACCAAGGTGAAGTTATTTTCTCATTTTGACACTATTGACATCCCACTCAACATCACAAAGCTGTTCAGCTCTTCGCTCACGTTACCATATGAGGAGGACAGACTGGTACTGGACTTCACCCAGCCCTCCTCTGATTACCTGCTGTTCCGCCAGCGTCTGGAGACTGAGCTCGTCTGCCTAGAGCACTGCATGCTGAAAGAGAAGGCACTGGCTGGAACCGTGAAGGTCAAAAACCTGTCCTTTGAGAAGTCTGTCAAGGTGCGTGTGACCTTTGACACTTGGAAAAGCTACACGGACTTGGAGTGCCAGTACTTGAAGGACACCTACACAGGCTCAGACCGTGACACCTTTTCCTTCGAGGTTTCCCTTCCAGCTGAGCTGAGGCCACACAAGCACATAGAGTTTGCCATCTGCTACAAAGTCAATGGCCAGACATACTGGGACGGTAACCAGGGCCGAAACTACAGGATCATCTGGTCTGCTCTGAAGATGGACGGCCAGGGCAGCTTCAGCAGTAACCAGCAGAGCCGCTCGTTTGATCTTGGAATTCACTTCGATCTCTACGGAAGTTCCAGGTGCTCCCATGGGATGTTCCCAGAGTGGCCAAGTTATGCAGGATATGAGGATATTAGACCTTACTACTGAAAAGCAGTCATCCTTAGAGTAAAGTGTTTTTTGTTCAGAGAAAGGGCTCTTCCTGAAAATGAGTGATTTTCGAAAGAAATTGAACCACAGATGGCCAGTCTAGCCATGCTCGGGGGAATAATAATAATAATAATATTAATAATAATAATAAAAATAGCAATAAGAAAAAGAAAAAGAAAGGGGGTGTTATACAGATGGAGGTTTTGGGATGGGGGTTGTATTCTCTGTGGATGATCAGAACTTGAATATTCAGATGTGACATTTACTGATTGCATAGCAGGTTTAATAAACAGGAATATCTCAGTGTAGATGTTTACTGAACCAAGAGAAAAACGTAATTACCATCTAGCTTTTGTACTTGAGTGGGTCCTGGAATGATTGGATCCCTTGATAAAGATTAGCAAAAAAGACTGTATAAAAACAAAAAATACAAAAACTGAGCTCTATGCTATATAAAAATAAATACATATATTATTTTATACTAATACAATTGTTCAGAGAAAGATTTTGTTTAACAATAAATAAAAAACAAATCTCAAAGATGAGGTCAAAATGATTGGATCCCCTGTTTTCAATACACCAGCACCCTTCCCTTGCGAGGATAACAACACTTGAGCCTTTTTGTCATATGCTATTGTCATATGACATGAAATTAGTGGTCTTTAGCCACGCACACCAATGGTGGTTTTGGCCTTCGAAAGAACAATGCATATGCAGAAAATACCTCATCCATACTGTGAATTGTGTCGTTATCCTCATAAAGGGAGGGTGCTGGATTATTGAAAACAGGATCCAATAATTATGACCCTTTTATCTTTTTGAGATATTAATTTAAAATCTCTTTCGCTGAGCAGTTGTTTTAGTAGAAAATATACATTTCATACAATATAGCTCAGTATTTGTATTTATTTTATACAGTGTCTTTTGCCCATCTTTATCAAGGGATCCAGTAATTCTGGACCCCACTGTATGTGTTGGGATAATCCATTGTTGACTCAACAGGAAATTACACTAACTGGTAAAACTATGTACATTGTTATGATATGTGTGATGCAGGTCAAAATAATTGGAAGAGCAATGTTTATGATGAAACTTTCAGTGATTTTTAACAAATAGATTTGGAATGAAAATGTACATGTACTTTCACATTTCTTGCACTGAGTTCTTTAAGTTGATTTAAGTTAAGTGATATGACTTCAGAATAGACATAGGGATTTTTAAGTCACTTCAGGATTTGCACCATGTTTGTACTGAGCTCATTCTGGTATGTGGGTGTTTGTGTCCAAATCCATCAAATTTTAAAGGGGTGGGAATGGCAGGAATTTACTTGGGACTGGAACCTTAGAAATACACATTTCTGTCTGCTCCTATTGATGATTTAAAATGTTTTACTGTGTTCACTATGCTGCTTTATGTAAATAAGAGTCATTGGATATGTTTTTAAAGGAACAAGTATTAAGGATGGATTTTGTATGTCAGAGAATTAAATATGTTCTGCAAGAATATTTTTGTTTATTTATTTAAACTCCTCATTGAATAATTGTTTGTGATGAATTGTGCCTGTTGACTCAACTTCATGTCAGGTAAACAGAAATTCACACTCATTGTAGAGGCCTTTTCCTTAATGAAGTTTGTCATCACTTATAATACCCTTTATAAAGGCAGCAAATTGCTCTTAGTGATCAAGACAGATGAGACTATTCTCCCCCTCACTCAGTTCATTTTTTGTGTGTTTGGTATAGTATTGAACTCTTCAGTAAACAGTCTTATCTGTTAATGTATGGCAACCTGGACAAAGGTCTGCCAGCTGAACTATATTCAGCAAGACCCTTGGACACCATGCACCAAGCCATACATTAACAGATAAGACTGTTTACTGAAGAGTTCAATACTATACCAAACACACAAAAAATGAACTGAGTGAGGGGGAGAATAGTCTGATCTGTCTTGATCACTAAGAGCAATTTGCTGCCTTTATAAAGGGTCTTATAAGTGATGACAAACTTGATTAAGGAAAAGGGCTCTACAATGAGTGTGAATTTCTGTTGACCTGACATGAAGTTGAGTCAACAACAGACACAATTCATCACAAACAATTCTCAGGTATGTTGCTCAACTACAGTAAGTTGACTACGTGGATTCTAGGCAGTAATGACTACCTACTTTTTGTGTGTTCCTCATAGACCTATCATTCAGTTGAGCACAGCACATCATTTAGATTTTTGAGAAAGGAAAAGGTTCTGCAATGAGAGAGCACATTTCCCTTGGCGGGATGACCTGACATAAAACTCAGACACATTGCATTGCACCTTTATGAAAGTTAACACTCCTCCCCATTTCAAATTCTAATGTTTCAGATTTAGATGAGCAAACATTTAGTGTACACAGTGTAAAAGAGCATGGTTATGCAAGGTCATGTGACTCACAAACTCGTTGAATCTGGGGGACCCTGATTGGAGACTTTATTAGACAAATAGACATCACAAACACAGCTAGAACTCCCAGTAACACTTACGGCTGGTTGCATGGACATGGGTAGGACATAGGGACTAAGCCTAATTCTCTTATATGAAATCCAGAATTATAGTCTTTTAGATTAATGTACAGTGCATTCGGGAAGTATTCACCCCTTTTACTTTTTCCAAATTTTGTTACGTTACAGCCTTATTCTAAAATTGATTAAATTAGTTTTTTTCCTCATCAATCTACACACAATACTCCATAATGACAAAACCAAAACAAGTTTTTAGAAATGTTTGCAAATGTATTAAAAAATTAAACAGAAATACCTTATTTACATAAGTATTCAGACCCTTTGCTATGAGACTCGAAATTGAGCTCCGGTGCATCCTGTTTTCATTGATCATCCTTGAGATGTTTCTACAACTTGATTGGAGTCCACCTGTGGTAAATTCAATTGATTGGACATGATTTGGAAAGGCACACACCTGTCTATTTAAGGTCCCACAGTTGACAGTTTATGTCAGAGCAAAAACCAAGCCATGAGGTCGAAGGAATTGTCCGTAGAGCTCCGAGACAGGATTGTGTCAAGGCACAGATCTCGGGAAGGGTACCTACAAATTTCTACAGCATTGAAGGTCCCCAAGAACACAGCAGCCTCCATCATTCTTAAATGGAAGATGTTTGGAACCACCAAGACTCTTCCTAGAGCTGACCAAGGGAGGTGACCAAGAACCCGATGGTCACTGATAGAGCTCCAGAGTTCCTCTGTGGATATGGGAGAACCTTCCAGAAGGACAATCATCTCTGCAGCACTCCACCAATCAAGCCTTTATGGTAGAGTGGCCAGACGAAAGTCACTCCTCAGTAAAAGGCACATGGCAGCCCGCTTGGAGTTTGCCAAGAGGCACCTAAACAAGATTATCTGGTTTGATGAAACCAAGATTGAACTCTTTGACCTGAATGCCAAGCGTCACGTCTGGAGGAAACCTGGCACCATCCCTACGGTGAAGCGTGGTGGCATCATCATGCTGTGGGGATGTTTTTCAGCGGCAGGGAGACTAGTCAGGATCAAGGGAAAGATGAACGGAGCAATGTACAGAGAGATCCTTTATGAAAACCACCTCAGGAGCTCTGACTGGGGCGAAGGTTCACCTTCCAACAGGACAACGACCGATCAAAGTACACAGCCAAGACAACGCAGGAGTGGCTTCGGGACAAGTCTCTGAATGTCCTTGAGTGGCCCAGCCAGAGCCCGGACTTGAACCCGATCGAACATCTCTGGAGAGACCTGAAAATAGCTGTGTAGCGACGCTCCCGACCCAACCTGACAGAGCTTGAGAGGATCTGCAGAGAAGAATGGGAGAAACTCCCAAAATACAGCTGTGCCAAGCTTTTAGCATCATACCCAAGAAGACTCGAGGCTGTAATCACTGCCAAAGGGGCTTCAACAAAGTACTGAGTAAAGGGTCTGAATACTTATGTAAATGTGATATTTCCGTTTATATCTTTTATTTTTTACATTTGCAAAAAAAAAAACTGCTTTTGCTTTGTCATTATGGGGTGTTGTGTGGCGATTGAGGGGGAAAAAAACAATGTAATACATTTTAGAATAAGGCCTTAACGTAACAAAATGTGGAAAAAGTCAAGGGGTCTGAATACTTTCCAAATGCACTGTATGTATGTGGAACCACACCTTACAATTATGTGAAGTTATTAAATTAATTTAATTTGAGAATAATTCACATCCCACTGTTATATCAACTTTCCATGCACAGTGTAAGCACCGGTATTTCTGCATGAGTTGTGCTGTGACCACCAATGTACTGTAGCTTTGCAATGATTGTGTACTGAACAAAAATATCAAGGCAACATGCAACAATTTCAAAGATTTACAGTTACAATTCATATAAGGAAATCAGTCAATTGAAGTAAATTCATTAGGCCCTAATCTATGGATTTCACATGACTGGGAATACAGAAATTCATTTGTTGGTCACAGATACCTTTAAAAAAAGGTAGGGTTGTGGATCAGAAAACCAGTCAGTATCTGGTGTGACCACCATTTTCCTTCGCATAGAGTTGATCAGGCTGTTGATTGTGGCATGTGGAATGTTTTCCCACTCCTTTTCAATGGCTGTGCGAAGTTGCTGCATATTGGCGGGAACTGGAACACGCTGTCATACACGTCGATCCAGAGCATCTCAAACATGCTCAATGGGTGACATGTCTAGTGAGTATGCAGACCATGGAAGAACTGGGGCATTTTCAGCTTCCAGGAATTGTGTACAGCACCCTGCGACATGGGGCCGTGCATTATCATGCTGGAACATGAGGTTATGGCGGCAGATGAATGGCACGATAATGGGCCTCAGGATCTCTTCAAGGAATCTCTGTGCATTCAAATTGCCATTGATACAATTTAATTGTGTTTGTTGTCTGTAATTTATGCCTGCCCATACAATAACCCCACCGCCACCATAGGGCACTCTGTTTACAATGTTGACATCAGCAAATCTCTCGCTTACACAACGCCATACATGTGGTCTGCGGTTGTGAGGCTGGTTGGACGTACTGCCAAATTCTCTAAAATGACATTGGAGGCGGCTTATGGTAGAGAAATTAACATTAAATTATCTGGCAGCAGCTCTGGTGGACATTCCTTCCAGCATGCAAATTGCACACTCCCTCGACTTGAGACATCTGTGGCATTGTGTTGTGTGACCAACACTTTACATGTTGCGTTTATATTTTTGTTCAGTGTAATTCGATTGATTGCTTGTTACTTTCTTGTGCCTCCTTGCTTAGATTGAACTAAAGAGGAGCCTTGTTGTCGATTTACTGGTGTAATGGTCTTCCATGTCAGCGGGTGTCGCTAATGTATTTTAGGCGTCAAGTTGAACCGGAACTGCAACCGGAGAGTACGTTTGATTGTTTATATTTTTCCAAAATATTTTACATTTTAGCTTGCTAGCTAGCCACCCAAATGTATATGTAAAATGTGTCTTGTCGGAATAAGGTTGGAAAGACATGAATAAAGCAAAGTGTCTATCATGTAACTTTACCGTTGTTCAGCGACAAACTTCGGATAAATATATTTTTGAAGAGCACTGACACGCGGGAAGAACGCGCGGAAACCGAGAGGACATGACAGGAGGATTGTCTGCTACAAGAGACATCTACCAGTTAGCTAGCAAGTAGCACGCAAACATTTTATTTCTAGTTAACATATTTTGATTAGTTGGTTGAGACAATCCTATCCCTCAAGAATGGAGGAATACAAGGAGAATATTCAAGACAAAGGTGACAATGTGAAATTGTCCTCTAAACCCGAGGAAGATGACAAGGTTAGTACTGTACACTACAGCTAACTCTGCTACAGTAGTGTAGCGTCAGCTAACGCAGCTAACTGGATTGGAGTAGGAATAACAGCCAGGTGATGTTTTAAACTAGTTATCTACGTATGTGACTAACGTTATATTCCTTTCTCTATGTCAAGTCTTGCAGCAAAGTGTGTAGTAACATTGGTGAACCCGTCCCTCAAGTATCTTCTACTCGAGGCGAGTTCAGTGATCCTGTTTACAAAGAGATTGCTCTTGCAAATGGACATATCAACCGCATGAACAAGGATGAGCTTCGGTCCAAACTGGCAGAGTTGAAGCTTGACACGAGGTATGTAGGAACACTTGTGTTTCAGCAGGAGATGGCTACAAACGTAATCCATTGAGGATCAGGATATCTGTGTTAGGAAATCCGAGAACTGCTTGGCATGTCACTGAAAAAGATCCATATCACTGAACATGTTCCATGATCCCAAGTGTCTCTCGCTCGCTCTCTCTGTGTGTAGAGGTGTAAAGGATGTGATGAAGAAGCGGTTGAAGAACTACTACAAGAAGCAGAAGCTGTCGTTGATGCAGTCTGTGACAGACGGTGGACCAACTGATACCTACTACGACTTCATCTGTGTTGTGGACTTTGAGGCAACGTGTGAACAGGACAACCCCCCTGACTTCACGCATGAAATCATTGAGTTCCCAATGGTCCTGTTCAACACGCACACTTTAGACATTGTGAGTAAGTGAGGAGGGGACATTGTTAGAATCAATGCATTGTAAGGCTTGTGTGTACTGTCATAGATGTATGGACCTTTTAGTTCACATTAGTAGTTGACGCAAATAATACAACTTAAACACACACATGCACACATGTTTTGTTATCATGAATGACACTGGATTTCATTGTAGGAGGACAGCTTTCAGGAATATGTCAGACCAGAAGTCAACACACAGTTGTCAGAGTTCTGCATAAAGTTGACAGGGATAACACAGGTGAGACACCGGACATAGATGTTGACTAAACCAACTTGAAGGACTAGAATACTATGATCCACAATACTTCACACAATGTAATGTTCATATAAGAGTTTTCTAACTGTTCTTTTTTTGGGTCAGAAAATGGTGGATGAAGCAGACACGTTCCCTGATGTTCTTAAGCGGGTGGTGCTCTGGCTTCAGGAGAAAGAGCTTGGCACAAAATACAAATACGCCATTCTTACAGATGGGTACGTCAGTGTGGGCAGAGGGTACTAACACTACTTTTGTGTATTAATGATAACTAGCGAGATATTAAGTGTTCTCATTAGTACAACTATGTGCTTTGTTATTTCCACAGATCTTGGGACATGAGCAAGTTCATGAACACCCAGTGCCGTTTAAATCGTCTCTCATATCCACAGTTTGCGAAGAAGTGGATCAACATCAAAAAATTATACGGAAACTTCTATAAGGTTATGAAATGAGCAGAAATATCTCTCTAAATGTAGACACGTTAGACACAATCCTTTAGATATGTTGAGTAGAACAATAGAACTAGAATCCTCACTTTCTTTTTCACAGGTCCATCGTACCCAGACCAAGCTGAGCAGCATGCTGGAGAAGCTGGGACTTCAATACGAGGGCCGCCCTCACTCTGGCCTGGATGACTCGCGGAACATTGCCCGCATTGCGCTGCGCATGCTGCAGGACGGCTGCCAACTGCGCATCAACGAGCGCATGCACGAAGGACAGCTGCGGACTGTGCCCAGCTCTGCCCCTGTGGAAGGAGCCCCACCCCCACATACCCCTCGCAGCAGAGACTAGCCCCCCACCTTGACCTCAGCTCCCCATCCCCTTGCTCTGTGAGACTTCTACATTGAGACCTTCAAGCAGGCTTCCCATGTCTATTTTACCCCCATGACTTGAAAATTCATTGCACTTTTCCCACTCAATCTGAGTCAATTTTTGTCACAAATTGTGGGACTGTGTAGATAGTCTTTTTAATTGCACTAGTAGTGCCACTTCCCACAATAAAAATGGTGTTTCTGCTTTTTAACAGCCTCTGTGGATTTCTTTAAAGAATAATTTTAATTTCGCTGGGGGTTAGAGGCTTGGCTTCAGTTTTTATTCATTAATTTATTAATTTCGCTGTCTGTTAGAGGCTTGGCTTCAGTTTTTATTTATTTTACAGAGCACACGAGGCTTTTGTGTGCTTATTTAACTTGGGTCCACTCTAAAACCGGTTCAAGAAAATTGAGGATATGTCTGCTTTAAGTGTGGTGTAAGCAATGCACATGCACAAGCTCGTGGGCTAAGAATGTATGAGCTATTGTATAAAACAATTTCTCTTTTAATACTAATACATATTTCCTTATTTTTAGCCTACTTTCTTTACTTTCTGGGGGCAGTATAGTTTAAAGGGCTTTGACAGTCCTTAACATGTATCGTCTCTCGGTTTTTGTTTGTGCTGCATTTTGTAATCAGTTTGAACTTCATGGACTCAAAATGAAAAGTTAAACATGACTGTTCAATATACAGTGTCAACGCTAAAAGATGGAGAAGGACAATTGTAATACAAACTAGCATACATTTGCATAAATTATAATTTACAAACGGTGCAACCTCTAACATGCCTAACATTTCTTTGCTTCATGGTATCAGGTTCAAGAGAAAAGCATTATGCCCTTTTTATGTTATGTAGAAAACAAATCAAATTTCAACTGTAAGTAATGTCTCGTTTCAACACAATCCAATATGATATGGTGACGTAATGGCTTTGCCAAACCCTGTGCATTCACATCATAGCCGTTAGATGGAGACAAAGCACATGTAACTCACGGTATAAACAACACGCAGTTTATCATCAAAGGAATACCAAGAGAAAGTGTTACCGTATTTTGTATTTGCCCCCAATGATACATCAAATCAAATGTTATCACATGCGACGAATACAACTTGTGTAGACTTTACAGTGAAATGCTTGCTCACGAACCTTTCCTTATGACGCAGAGAACTCATTACATCATGCAAGTTTCAATGTCTCCTACTGAAAATAACCTTTGGAAGCGGGGAACATGAAATCTGGTGCTTGATCGAAATAGCATTGCAGAAACTAAATTATGTACTATTTGGTTTTATTTCTTATAAGCATTTTATATCCCATCTATGACCAGGAAAATTTGCTGAATAATTAATGTAACTTTCTCAACTCATCAGTTGGTGGGGAAAATAGATCTAAATAAAATGGAAAACACTTCTGTCTCTCTCTGGAATAAACAAACATAATATTCCTTTATTTATTCTTATCAATGTTCTTGCCTAGTAATAATAATAGCTTTTCCTCATCATGGGCAATCGATCAATAACTTAACCAAGGTGGGCAAAAAATCTGACGCAGGGTGTTCTAGGCGTTGTTGCTGTTCCACACGTCCCTGATCAGGAAGGACTGCAGTTCACGAGAGAACACAGGCAGAGAGAGTAGCGTCATAAGGAGAAGTGACCGTTCCCGTTGTTTGATTTCATGCATTGTTTGTTTGATAATGGGACGCGATTGGATGCTACGATACCAGAGAATGTGCTGGCGGGGCCAGCCGAAACGCCTGGATTTTAAAATGGACTTGAAATTGTGGTAGGTTTCCCTTTTTATTGTGTAGTTCGCGGCCGTAGATAAAAGAAGATGCGTGAAGCGCTGCTGGCCAGGTCCAATCGTCTTGATAGGATTGAAAAGCATTATTTCTTGCTCCTACTCGAAATGGAGTTACTGTCGTTTTCCCCGTTGTTTGGATTGTTGATGATAAGAACACTAATCGATAAAACAAGCACCTAGACCACGATGCTGCCAGGATAATTGATGATTCCTCTCAATGAAAACGAGGAGGGGTCGGTCTGCAAAGCCATGGAGGACAAGGAGAACAATCTCAAAACGGTTAAGCTGTGGAGAGATGCTGCTGTCCGCTCTAGGAAGGTGCGAAGCAACCTGCGTCAGCTCACTATCTGCTCCAAAGACCGGGAGAGGATAATTCTACCTGAAAATATAAGCGAGATAGAGGTGCTCAATTTGGGCAATAACTCACTGCAGGAATTACCAGAAGGATTGGGGGCCACCCTCACAAACCTGCGTATCCTTGTCCTCCGCAGGAACAAATTTGTCACAGTTCCTTTTGTGGTGTTTGAACTGGGTCAACTTGTGGAACTGGACATGAGCCACAACTGCTTGAGCCACTTCTCTGAGGATATAGGCCTGCTGAAGGGGCTGAAAAAGCTCTGCATCAGTCACAACAAGATCCAGTACCTGCCGTCACAGATTGGGGCACTGCAGTTCTTGGAGGAGCTGGACATAAGCTTCAATGACATACGTGATTTCCCCAGGTCCTTCTCACAGCTCAGGAGGCTCCGTACTCTGGATGCCGACCACAACAACCTGAACCAGTTTCCCCCGGAGATTCTTGCCCTCAGTGACCTGGAGGAGCTCGACTGCTCAGGGAATACATTTGCGTGTCTACCAGGGGACATCATGAAACTGCAGTTCATCAAGATCCTGTGGCTTAGCAGCATTCACATCTCCTCGTTACCTGACACATTCTGTCAGCTGCACAACCTGGAGAGCCTGATGCTGGACAGTAACAACCTAGCAGCTCTGCCTCGTTCCTTTGGAAACCTGCAGAGACTTAAAATGGTCAATCTTTCCTCTAATGAGTTTGAGGAGTTTCCCCAGGTTATCCTAAACATCACAGGACTAGACGAGCTTTACCTGAGCAGAAATAAACTGTCTTTTGTCCCAGAGGAGATAGGCCAGCTGCGTAGGCTGGCAAACCTCTGGTTGGACAATAATAAGATTACTTATCTGCCTGACTCCATTGTGGAGCTAGAGAGATTGGAAGAGCTTGTTTTACAGGGTAATCAAATAGCCATACTTCCAGATAACTTTGGAAAACTCTCCAAGGTAAACATTTGGAAGGTGAAGGATAACCCCCTCATCCAGCCTCCCTATGAGGTCTGTATGAAGGGAATCCCCTACATCGCTGCCTATCAAAAGGAACTCGCACATTCCCAACTCGCTGTGAAGCCCAGGTTAAAACTGGTCCTGATGGGAATGAAAAATGCTGGGAAAACAAGGCTCAGACAGAGTGTGGTGAGTGAGCAGCAGGATGCCAACTCTGCTCAGGGAAACAAAGGGATTGATGTGACTAACTGGGTAGCGGACGCCGATCGCAGTCTTACATTTTTAGTGTATGACCTGTCAGGGAAGCCAAACTATGACCTCATCAAACCTTTTTTTCTCTCACCCGGTGCTCTGTACATCCTCGTTGTGAATCTGAAAGCGTACTCACCCAATAACTTTTACGCCCACGTGGGGTACTTCCTCCACCTCCTCAGTGCCAAAGTGCCCCACGCTGTGGTGTGCATGGTGGGCACACACACAGACCTGTGTGGCGACATGGAGGTGGAAGAGAAGAGCCTGGATATCCACAGACAGATTGCCCTGCAGGAGAAGTGGGACAGCCATTGTCTGCGGACCCTCGCCCAACAGGTGGACCAGGCCCTGGAACAGGGCTACAACATCCGCACCTCCAGCCCTCATATCCTCTTCTACGGCGTCACAGACAAGAACCTGAGACGAAAAAAAGCCCAGCTGCAGTACATGCTGAACCACAGGCTGCAGATCCTGTCCCCTGTCCTGTGTGTCAGCTGCACGGAGAGCCAGAGAAACATCCAGAGGCTGAGGGAGAAGCTCATGTCAGTGGCTGACCACAGGGACATCTTCCCCAACCTCCACCGTGTGCTGCCCAAGTCCTGGCAGATGCTGGAGGAGCTGCACTTTAAGCCCCAGGACCTGTGGCTCTCGTGGTGGGACTCGGCCCGCTTGGGCCTCCAGGCAGGACTCACAGAGGACCGCCTGCAGAGTGCCCTGTCCTACCTGCATGAGAGTGGGAAGCTACTCTACTTCGAGGACAGTCTGACACTAAAAGAGTACGTCTTCCACAACCTGCCACGCTTCATCGCCATCCTCAATGTCTTCTTCCAGAGGGATGAGTCCACGTTGCTGGAGAGGCTACTGTCAGATGGTGCGAGGGGGGACAAGGGTAGGGCCAGTGTGGTTATAGAGGGGGAGAAGGAAGAGAATCTCCGGGCTACCCATCTACAGCACCATGTGGAGGGCTTCCTCAGCCACGGCCTCCTGCCTTCCAACGTCATCCGGCTGCTCCTGAGACCTCTCATCCAGACCCAACAGGACCTCCACCTCATCATGGAGCTGCTGGAGAAGATGGGGGTCTGCTACTGCATCAACAAGCCCCGCAGCAAGCCTCTGAACGGGGCCACCATCTGGTACAAGTTCCCAAGCTATGTCAGCAATGAGGAGCCCCATGCCGAGGCCTGGGTGAACGGGAGCTCAGTGGCTGCTAGTCCTTTCTTCTCTGTGGAGCAGTTGAAGATTGAATACAGCTTCCCATTTCTCTTCCCTCCTGGACTGTTTGCACGCTACAGTGTGCAGATCAACAGCCATGTGGTTCAGAGGTCAGATGGGAGGCACCAGATATTTGCCTATCGTGGTAAAGTGCCTGTGGTGGTCAGCTACCGTCCGGCTCGGGGCAGGCTGCAGTCCGAGACACTGTCCATAGCCAGCCATGCCTCCCTGCCAAATATCTGGACTGCTTGGCAAGCGATAACACCACTGGTTGAGGAGCTCAATGTCCTTCTGCAGGAGTGGCCCGGGCTCTACTATACTGTTCATGTTCTGTGTTCCAAGTGCCTCAAAAGAGGGTCACCCAACCCACACACCTTCCCAGGTAAACATGCTTTTCCCCCTCTGACTCTTGGATTCTCTTTCACTCTCTTTCTCGTCCCCCTCTCTATCGAGTCCCTCTCTCTCTATCGAGTCCCTTGTCAAGCCTCCCAGAAGTAGGCTAATTTTCATTCTCACACTTCTAATTTAGCAAAGATGTGTAAAGGACTTTGTAGCTTACATTACCCCGCCCCTATTTGCATTATTTTAATGGGAATGTTGAGTGTTATATGTGGTGAGTGCAACTTGAAGTGTAAAATTATACTCAAGTATATCAGTTACCAGTGGTTTAGAATCATCATGGCATTATGGAAATATCTCATGGAGGGGACATCTGATACATGTGTTTTTCATGACATACTCCTCTCCTGCGATTCATTTCAAT